TTTCAAAAACAAATGCCTGGGAAATTGCACACCAATCTGTGGTGGTTTCGTTGTAGCGTATGACGCGACGTTCGTTCCTCATTCGGGGTTTTTTTTCCCGATTTGGTGCCATTTTCGTCTTAATACGATTTAAGAGCCTTTTTATGCGCGGCCATGTGCAAGCCTGAGATTTTCGATCAAGTCAGACGGGCTTTACATGGAATCAATGGGGGAAATAATGGTTGATGCACTTGCTATCCGTATTTGGAGAAAGACCTAAACAACGAACTCGTCAATCTAGGTTTCACCTAAATGAATTAACGCTCCAAGGTGGCGTTGATGAGAGTGCCACTAAATAACCTTACTAGACAAGGAAGCGGGCCAAAAAACTGGCTCGTGATGACAATAGTTATTTAGTAGGCATCTCCAAAGATTACTGTTGTAATCGAAGGCCCGATTGTAACTTGGTTAGTGTCTGCAATCCTACTTGTTGTATTCATTCCAAACAGTTAACATCTAACCCACCATCAATTTCTTCAAATGACCATAGTAGGCATCTCCAAAGATTACTGTTGTAATCGAAGGCCCGATTGTAACTTGGTTAGTGTCTGCAATCCTACTTGTTGTATTCATTCCAAACAGTTAACATCTAACCCACCATCAATTTCTTCAAATGACCATAGGCCTAAAAATATTTTTCATTTCACCTCAGATTTCACAAATTCAAGCCCTCTATTACTTCAAGTTCTAGATAATTTCCAAATCGATGATGAAACGTCTGACGTTGATTTAACATATAATCCATCTTCAATTGACCGATCATCTACAAACGATTCTCTATCTAGCCCAATCTTGGAGAATTCAAGCCTTCAGACCGTTGAATTTCCGGAAAATTTCAGAATTGTAATGAAATTTATGACATTGATTCAAGTGATAGTGAAGAAGTGGATGAGTTTGATCAGGACGATTTCTTTAATAGACTTCGAAAATGGAGTATAGACCTTCAAATCACCGGTGTTGCTCATTGTGCATTATTATTAACATTAAAAGTTCATAAATGTTTTACATCATTGCCAAGTAATGGACGGACACTAAAACGAACCCCCCCCCCCCTTGCTATCAACGCTCAGCTTCTGAATACTGGTTACTATTGTCATTTTGGTATTGAGTCCTTTTTTCAAACAAATTCGGTCCACAATTGTTGAACAAGTTACCTAAATTGAGTTACTACTTGGTATCGATGGGATTCCCCTTTTTAGAAGTAGTCCAGGAGAACTATGGCCTATTATTGTATCAGTAATAAATAATCCTTCGCTATCTGGGATTGTACTTCAAATTGGAGTATATTATAGGTCCATCCAAGAGTATATTATAGAGTATATCATAGAGTATATTATAGGTTTCCATCATTTGCATCTCAGTACCTACAGCCCTTTGTAGATTAAATGAAAACCTTATCAACAACTTAAGGGTATCCAACTTAAGGGCAAAAAACAACCAATGTGATTATGAAAGGGCTAACTTGTGATATTGCCCCCGCAAAATCTTATGTTCTGGGGGTTAAATGTCGGTCATACGGGATATTTCTCTTGCGCCAGATGCAAGCAAGATGGGTCTACTATAAAAATATAATGACCTTTCCTTTGAATGATTGTGACCCTCGATCATACGAGGGCTTCGTTAATATAAGCGATGAAGAGTACCTCTTATTGACAATTGTGTAATTTTTTACACGTTCTACAATTGTATTTATTAGATTGTTGTTTAATTTTGTATCGCTCTATGGAAACAGTTTTTTTTTATGTTTCTACACTACGGGGGGGAACGTTTTGTTGAGTTGGCAGCACTGGAGCTTTTTTCAGTGGTCAAGCTCACTTACAAATTTCGTGCATCCCATTATTGACGCTTTTTGGAGGTTATGGTGTATACAACATATAAAAGACCATAAAAACAGGTGAGTCTAGCCATATAAAAATTGTATTTAGTCCTTATAGTATTTGTAGATCACACCTAGCACATAATTTTGGTCTAATATATTCTAATTTACATAATTTAAAATAAGATTGGTTTGTGTTTTTTTTTTACTCATTGGGCAGCAATGGATATTCTGACTGACAGAAGGTTAGTGTAGTTTATTACACTATGGGCAACTACAGAACATATGTAAAAGGTGTGTTGAAATGCAAACTTATACCATCTTATCTTTTCTAGATGGATCGGCCAAGAAGACTTGTGCGGAACGCACCAGGAAGATTGAAGGGAGCCTTCCTTCTTCCAGAAGACAACGATGAGAGTGCCATAGATGACAGCGACGCTGATCCCGACTATGAGCCCATAGAACATGCAAATACAGATCGTCTACAGCGAATAGTTGATGGTCTAAGTAGTAGGCGTTTCATAGATGATGATGATGACGACAATCCGGACGATCATGCCCAATTTGATACAGGCATGCCCACGACATCTGGCGCTACATGTAATACTACTGGACTCCAGCGTATCACCAGTATGCCTGGAGCTACTGAGCATGACTATTGCCAGAGAAACACTTCAGGTATAGTTACTAAGTACATAATAGGCCTATTCACTTTTATTATGTTCCCATGAATGAATTTCAGGTGCTGGTGTGAATCCGAATCGGGAAAATGGAACAAATACAAATGAAGTTCCACAAACAAACAAAGGAGGTGCAAGAGGTTCGAAGGGAAAACGAAGAAAAAGGATCTTCCAAAATGGATTGAAGTTGACGCAGGCTCAAGTAAAAAACCACCGGTAATATAGGATGACGTCGAACCTGGACTAGGGGAAATTCAAACCCCTGTAGATTATTTTGGATATTTTTTTGACACAGACGTTTTGGACAGTATGGTAAATCAGTCCAATCTTTACAGTGTCCAAAAGACCCAAACAAGCCACTAAACATGTCAAGGAATGAACTAGAGCAGTTTTAGCGAATTTCCCTATAGGGAAGTAGCTTTTACCGTAGGTGGCACGGTAAGACCTAGACCCGGGACCGATTTACTTTTTCATTTTGATGTCCCCAGAGGCCAAAAACACCATTCGTTCAAATTTTTATATATGTATATATATATATATATATATATATATAGACTTATATATATATATACGTCCGTGAACGCGATAACTTGAGTAATTTTTGTCCGATTTTGATGAAATTTGGTTTAAAGGTGTAAAGCGGGATAAACTTGAATGAGTTCGCAAACCAGCACGATCGGACCATGGGAACGGGGCTTTACGGGGGGTTTTATGGGGTAAAAATTGGTTTTTCTCACTTTTGACCCTCAAAACACAAAATTTCCCGATTTCTCTTTAGACCTTTTTAAAGAGCTTAAAAAAACAAATAATTTAGTATATAAAAGTATTTTTATTCGATTATTAGTAACGGAGAAAATTAAAAAAATTTTAAATTTAAAATTCCCATGTTATTCTTATGGAGAATATTGTCAAATGTTGTAGTTTGCTTGTTTATGGATATATTTTGATCAAACTTGGCAAATTTATTTATTTTGTACTAAGCTATCAATATTTTACTCAAAAACACACTTTACTAGTTTCCTTGTAGCAGCAAACCTAGGTACTCGTTAAACCTAATGTTATTAAAATATATTTAACTGAAAATCAATTCAGACAAATGGAAATTCGCTTAGTCGGCAGGTTTGCTGCGGCGGGGGTATTTGGGATTTGCGTTGGAATGTCTATATCGCTTACCATGATCAAGAATGTTTTGGGCTAAACATACGAAAGTGGAAAAAGTCAGCTCAGTAACGTCACGCAACAGATGGGAAGAAATAAAAAGAAACATTCATTGTAACGACAACACTAACATTCTACCAGTTGGACATCCAAAGAGAGACAAATTATTCAAAGTAAGACCACTTATCGATCATTTTCAAGCAAAGTTTCAAGCCTTACCAAAGCCACAGATGCTATGTGTGGATGAACAGATTGTGTCATTCAAAGGAAAATCGGGACTGAAACAATACAACCATAAGAAGCCTTATAAGTGGGGTTATACTTTGTGATACCACAGGTTTGGTTCATGATTTCGAAGTATAAACTGGACACATTGAACCTGTCACCAAATTGGAAAATTGGTCTATAAATTTGAAAATAACATGTAAAATGCCCTTACTACAAGTTATCTTAAAGAGTAGCTCAAGAATAAGCTTGTAAAGAAATTTGGCGCTGTTCCGTTCAGTAGTTAGGGTATTACGATTGTTAACTTTAAAGTACTTTTTAAAACGTTTTGACCCACCCTGTAAATACGGTTAAAGATAATTAAATTTTTTTTTTTTGCTCCAAAATGATCGGGATGATTAGACCTTTAAATTGATGTATCACAAAAACCATGTTTACATTTGAAAATTTCTCAAAATACACCCCTTTATACCCCCCAAATTGGGCCCTATTGGGGCATTTTCAAATTGAAAATAATTTTTTTGGATTTGGCGTGTCCAAGTTAGGGGGAAATGAGAACAAACAAGTGTTAAAAGCCTTACCTTTGCACACAACAGAATAGGAAAGTTTTCAAATGAACGTATATGAATTTTAACGGATGGTTTCATGTTTCATTAAAACTTTCAGTTTGCAATAGTCAATTATATACAAATTTTCTTTTTGCAAATAATATTTGCAGTGACCTTACTGCAAGTTCAGCATGCGTCAACGACAAGTTTGCGTCAATGTTACAAAAATGCTTTGCTATCTGGAATACCTCTAACGCTATTAAAAAATAAAATGGAATATTTATTGGCTAGTAAACAAAGATAGTAAATTAGCCTACGAAGATTATTTACCTTACCCAAGTCAAGATGCTGATACTATAATAGGGCCAATGTTAATAATATGGATACGTAAATTATATTTGTGCAAAATCTCAGGTATTTAGTCCATTGGTTTTAGGATGATAGAGATGTGGACATCTCTTTGTTTTATAGTGTAAATCACTAGCAAAAAGATCAATAAACTTATGGTACCAACAGTCAATAGTTCAGGCTTACCAATCATGACACTGATGATGAGGTTGACAGCACTGAATAGGCCGAGTTCTCGTTTGAGGGTGAGTTGTTCTGGAGCCGTGTTTGTAGCCGTGTCGTCCAGCAGCGACATGGCCACGGTGTCAGGCTCCTTCGACCTGCAAGCACCTCCTCAAATGTCATCTCACTTATATACAAGGTTATGGACAAAAGATAAATTGGCTTAAATTCAGAGAAATATAATTCAAGAAATATATTTGCTATTTTTACTATAACGGAGTTTGATGGCCCTCAACCAGAACCTACTAAAGAAAAAGGTGGGCAGACCTTTCATGAATACTTCTGGCAAAGAAATGCCTCTACTGTGTCCTAAGGGATAACATTTTTTACCAGCAAAACTGAGAGATTTGAAATCCTTGATGGGGTTAATTCCTTGATTCAAAAGCGTTTTACAGAGGGTGGTTATTAGGTATGTCGCGTTCTATCCAACATTTTTTGGTCAAGGATGAAGAGATCAAGTATTTCAAGTAAGTAATATACATTCATTTTAGTCCAAATATAAGTTAAATATATCAATAATTGTTCGAGGTTCCATTATACATAGTATTAACCAAAGTTACAAAAGCAAAACAGCATAAACAAACCAAGTGCATTTTGGCCTATAAACTAAGTAAAGGGAACCATAACTCCTAATATACACATTAAACAACGAAATATAAACAGAAAATCAAAACAAATGGAGGAAACTCCAATCACATGTTTTATTTACAGTGTGGGGTGAAAATAGTTAAGTGAGTACATTACATATTTTTGGTCGAGTTTCGACCACTGGACGACCTCTCGTTAGAGTAAATGTGTTAAGTCCTTAAATCAGTGGAAACACTGCCCAGTTTTTCCTATTGTTCGATAGTTTAATGTAACAATTGCGAAAAATATACGTTACTCATCCAATATGTGTTTCCCGGACTCATGGTAATCCTGCGAGAAACGAAGTCTAGCTCCAACATATATTTTCCGGACTAGAAACTTAATATACAATTGTTCTCTCATACGAAAATAGCTCATTTCCGCACAGCTGAGTTATACGATAATCGTTGTTTTCAACTCTATCAAAACATATGATTTTGTCTGTCCTAAAATATACTTTGTCCTAATCAAATGAGGCTCCCGTTTAGCTCAACAGGACCGCTGTATTGTGTTCTTTTATTAAGACGCAACTTATTATTAAAACAGCTGACTTTCAGAACCAACAATTTTTGTAAAACTATGCTATCAAAACTTTGAAGAGATTGACCTAGCGTCAGCTGATGACATTGTCATAGCAACGCATTATGAGTTAGTCTGGTTTTTGTTTTTCTACAGGATTGTACACAAAATGTAGCTCTTTTATTAAAATACTTTTCTCTTAGTTATTTGGTCGTAATTTATTTGATGTACACAAACAACCACGACATATACTTTGTCTACCAACAATAAACAGGATATTGTAAGGAATTACAGAATTTTGACAGCTGTTTCGACTACACAAGTTGGTTCCAAGATATTCAATAGCAATAAAAAGTTATAAGGTTTATCAACAGGGTGCATCACTATTATTTTTTTTTATTTATGACAACAGCTAATTTCATATTTATTTATGTAGCAGCAACAGACAATTTATTGTGATATAGGAACCCTACAATGGGAACTGTCCAAGTAGGATTTTTTTAAAGCAATGCTTTATTTACAAAGGATGGTTTACAGTTATGCTTATATTTTTTTATCTATAAATTGTTTGTGATATTGTGCAAATATTTGGTAATTTACTCTTTTCTATATTGTTTAATTGAAGTGATAGAACATTATTATGGCTATGGTAGATGTGTTATACAATAGCATACCGTAAATTAAAATAACCAAACCTTCTCAAATCTCTCCCTTTGCAAACGCAAAGCACGAGTATAACTGCAATAAGCATTTTATACTTATACGCCAACCCCGTACGAAGGACGGATACTCTGCTAGTAGACTATACAATTTTTAATTGTTTTTAAAACCAAAAAGCTGTGTGTGGTTGTTTTCATCGTTAATATTAAAAGTATTGATCACTCGTCACAAAAGTTTCCGATAGTTATTTCCCGCGCTAAACGAGAACTCTAGAACTAAATAAACGCTATGAGACAAAGTCCTACGGGAAATTGTTTTAGTTACCGTACCATTATTCACTCCGCTAGATCATTTAAGCTTTAAAAAGACACCGTAATTTTTCGGTTTAGTTGGACGGCTGGAAAAGGGGTGTTGGAACAAACCCCCTTTTTGTATTGAGTATAGAAGATGGATGATAATGATTCATACTGTTTTTTCTAACATCCGTGTCAAGGACTATTTTAAACACGAACTTAAATTTATTGTGCTCTACTACGTTTTTTAGCCATATTAAAACTTTAAAGAAAGTTTTAATATGGCTAAAGAGTTGATTGTTTCACAACAGAAATGCATACGATGTTGACTTTTATGCTCCCTGAATTGTTCCAATTCAAAATACAGAAATAGGCATATTTTTGTTGTAGTTAAATATAAAATCTAACACCGTAATAAATATGAATTGAATTTAAAAACAGTGCTTGGCTATATCATATTAATTGATCGGGAACTAATTTTAGACAGCAAAATGGGCGGAATTTTTATGAGAGATATAAGTATAACAGCTGATAACCTCAACTCTAACTGGTCCTTATTAACTCTATAAATAAATCAAAATCCTTTAGCACCACAACGTATGTAGGCTACTTAAAAAAGTTTTCACTGCAGTAATGTATGCCGACATCTTATAATCTTACCTAAATATATTTCAAAACATAACCTAGTTCGAAAACTAGTCTTTCTAAAATTGTATTATGTATCAAAACAATTCCAATGATAACCTTTGTAGCTGATAACAATGCACTGTAATGTGTTCTATCTCAATCTAATGCTAAGTAATCCCCATTCCAACATGGATAACATTCGATTATTGTGCAAGAATTATATTGTTTTAAGGGCGAAATTGTTTAAAGGTTTCAAATTTCAGAACGACGATGGAACTCATTTAGGAATGTTGATACAAGTTAACTGTTCATACTTGGCAACTGACCAAAAGTCAGGTCTCTTCGTAAAAATAATCCCCAAGGTCACTTGGTAGCCTCCAGATTATTTCGTATTAAAACTCTGTCACAAAACTTCATAAATGTATAATTCCAGAAAAAGTGTTGTTAGTGCGGATGCACTACTATAAAGTGTAAGTTTATGCCGTTACTTTGTATTTTACAAATAATTTCAAATAGGAACGTAGGCTATATCTTTTTTTATATTTTGAAAAATTTAATTATTTTTAATCACCTTACGTTTTTTAATTTTTGTTTTCGTCAATTTTCCAGTGGCAAGAACTTGAAATATTTTAGTTAACTTTTTTGTTGTATTCTTCGTTGTTGCAGATGTTTTCTTTATTTTAAGAATCAAAATTGTTTATTGTCATAATAATACAAAACTGTACAGGGCAAAAGCCACTAGAACTAAAAAAAAATAAAATCAGACCCATAAAAATAAAGACAAAAACTTTAAGAGGTACATAATATTTGCAATAATTATTACAAGCTTAATATAAATTCAGAATACATTTAGAATGGTTTGAGATACTCTAAATATTTTTACGGTAGTTATAGTACTCGCAAAACAATCAAAAGGTTGCCGAAAACTGGGCCCAGCTGTGCTTAATGATCCTTTTGTCTTTAGATAGTTCTCATCGACAGATCTTAATCAAGGTCTTGGGTACTACACTATCGGTACTTATTAAGACAATTTACACTCTCCCGGCAAGCATATTCAACCTAAACATGTTTCCAAAATGCGTCACTGTATACATAAATATATTAATCATAAAGACATTTTGACTACTATACTGAAATAAAATTTGGAAATTCAAAGTCTACAAGATCTTAAATGAAATATTCAATACTTAATCAACTGTACGATTGTATGTATTTTCAATTTCACATGTGTCACACTATACTGTTTTATCTCGCTCGCAGGCAATAAATTGTGCCTGATGACTTTGAAGAAAACTTAACCAAATAAACATTGCGAATATGGGACAACTTACTGTGTTTGGCAGACATGAGCGATGTTTTATCACAGCAATACACTTTACACTCAACAATACTGGTGTAGCACAAAGCACATACGGCACGAACCGTGTTGGTACTAAGCTCCGTTATCTAACAGCTGTTTGCGACCGCGCCAACGCGCTATGTACGGCGTGTGTGTGTGTGTGTGTGTATGTGTGTCTAGAGTCGTGTGCGGGCCAACAGCCAAGTGGGCGCGGACTTGATCCACCAACCTCAATATCAGCTGATTGTTTCCATAAATAATCGCTCTCTTGATTGTGTGTCACAGCATGTTATCGGTTGTTCACTTGACGGAGCCTACCAAGGTTATGGCGCTGAACTCTACGTAGTTGACATCATAAAGTTTTCCTCTGTTGTTACGGAATTAAATTGTTACGATAGACGATGGATTGAGGGGGTCGATAGCTTGAATAACTACATAAGTGGAAGATTTAAGGCCGTGTATTATCTATTAGGTCACTTTGGGCCGCACGGCACAGGGTGTCGGCAGGTCAATGTGTGCCAATGGGCGTTATTGAAGGGTTTTTAATAGTAGGCAGGAATAGTAAAATCGAAAAAAAAAACTATTGTAAAAAAATCGTATTTTGAATCCTCAATCCAAGTACAATATTAAAATAATTCTAGTTTACACTGTGAAAATTGATCGTTACAATTATCGAGGTGTTATTTCAAATCATTACTCACTCCGTAGAGGCCCTTCAGTTTTGATTCTTCGATGGCTGAACCTTAGTGGATTTCTACATAACATGGTATTGCTGCAACCCAGTGACCGTAATACTGACTCATTGATGTTCGACCAGCAAATGGAACTAGGAGGCTAGACTACTAGCTAATGAACAATTCCTCTCTATTTGTAATAATAACTAGGGGTCTGCGGGGCATACGTTTACCTCTGGATCAAAAACCTTAGCCAGGTCTTAAAAACCTTAAAAAAAAATCAAAAACCTTAGGTCTTGGTCCAAAATCTGAATGCTTTGGAAAGTATTGATTTATAAAAAAAAATAATTTGTATACTGCAAATGCTTTAAATGACTTTGCAATCGAGCCGAAATCGTGAACACCATCCGCGGTCGCTGAGACATCTTCACGTCTTCCTGCGATCGCGGCGAACATCTTTTGCAGCCGCGGAGACTCCATCATCGTCTCCCACGACCACCGAGATATCGTGCAATCTTCGTAGACCTTTTGAAGATCGTTAGAATAAAAAAAATCTAAAATTGAACCACCTAACATATTTGTCTGTAAAATTTATTTTTCAAGTGAAAAAAACTATCTTACGAGGCCCCAACACCTTAATTTAACCCCCTTAAATCATCTGATATTTTTGAAAATCTTGGCTATTAATTAACAGCAGTGTCTAAGGAATATGTCGGCCTTTGCCAAAAAAGAAATATTAGAAAAGCTTAAAGCAAGGAGCACAAGCCAGGGAAAGGCAGAGGAGGAAACGGGCTAAACTGGCGGATGAAGAATTAGAAAAAAGGCAATATGACAGGTATAAAAGAGAAAAGAAGATGAAGTCGATTAAAGACATGTCAGAGAGGGAGCAAAGGAATACTCGGAAGCGTTGGAGGGAGCGGTAGAAGGAAAAATGAAATGAAAGCTTTGCTCGCTCAAGCAACAAGTACATGTAACACCCGGTGTGCCCTAGATTCCCTTCTAGGTCTTTTCCTATTCTGCAAATTCGTCAATAACGTAGAAAGCTCCCCGTCATCCGAATATCTCCTATTTGCCGATGATGTGAAGATCTTCAGGAAAATATCGTTAGCCTTTCATCAATAGGAACTTCATGATGATCTCAACACCATCGAAAGGTGGAGCACAGAAAATTCCATTGAATTAAATGCAAATAAGTAAAAAAAATTATGTTTGGAAGAAATAAGTCGATGTTAATCTATGTCTCACCGGTGGTATTTTGGAAATAGTGCAGTATGTTAAAGATCTTGGAGTCTATACCTCTTCTAACTTGGATCCAGGTCTATAAATCACCAAGATATGCCCAAAGGCTAACTCTCTACTTGGGCTAGTGGCGAGGTGTTTCAGTCTATCAATGAAATTGCTGTGCTCCACCAGGTGCTCTCACTCACATCCAGAAGGGTGACATCCGACTTGGTTTCCTGTTTAAAATCATCAATGTCCTGTTGGATTGCTCAGACCTCCTAGAACTGGTAAAACTTCATGATTTACTAAAATTAAATATAAAAAATTAAAACAGACGTCTTAGCCGAAAGTCCCGTTTCAATCCCGCTCAAGGTCTAAAAATCTTGTTTTCAGGATAATAATCACGTGTATGAAAACATTGTCTCTAACATGGAATACTACAAAAGCCGGCTATGGCAAACATCCTATGGATGAGGTTAAAAGAATTTTAAAACGTCGGGCACGGTACTGATATTACTTGTGCTGCAGATTTTGAAGATCAGACCAAAAATGTACTTCAAAATCTATTATCGAAATCAAGACATAGGGGGAGACAAAAATACCTGTTTTTTATGTACACCCGGCCGATATTGTGATGACTGTAAGATTAGAAGTTTTTAACCTTCAAAACCGGAGAAGATTAAATATACACTTACCTAAAAGAAATTGATTCTATGAACCAATTTATAGTTCATCATCGTCTGAAGGAGAAAAAGATAAACAGATGAAATTCATTAAGTTTGAAAAATCAAAATACAGTAAAGCCGAAGCTATAAATTCACAGAGGCAACGCCAAAATAAGAATATAGACTAACAACAGTCTGAATCGCATATTCTATAAACAGATTATAGTGATCATTACACTTTGATGACAATTTGTAAAATGCAGTCAACCTATCCTATTGTACTTTATTGTACCAAATGGAAATAAATATATTTGATTTGATCTTTTTATTACTCTTTTAGTCTTTTTAGTAATTTTAGAATATTTTTAAACTAGCAGCTAACACCCCAGCATATAAAATAATATCTCGTTCTATATTGGATATTATACATATTATATTTTACTTCAGTAGAAAAAAATACAGAATGAGAATAAAATGTTTTGAGTCATTGGATGAGACAAGATTAGTGCAATTGTCCATATAATTACTTGAGATGGAGATCTGCATGCCGAGAACGTCTCCTGAGGGGCTGACACTAGCACAATTAATTAATCAACTAATAAGATGATAATTGGCAATACAACCAGTAATTGGTTCTCGTGTGATATTGTATTATTATTGATGTTCATAATGAATTTAAGTCCCAATTAAAATTTTACTGTATTCGCAAAACTATTAAAGTTAAAACTTAGGTTTGCAATTTTACAACTATAACAGTTTCATTTCCAAATAAAATCAATAACAAAACACCCTTTTCTTTTTATAAGAATCGAAATTAAATTAAACACAAAACATATTTTGTACATGCCATCACTTCAGGAGTTAAAACTACATATAATAGGCCACTTTACGTTTGCGCACAGTTCAGTAAATGTACATGAAAGAAGTTTTATTTTAAGATCTGTAAATCTGTAGTCACAGTTAAATTTGATTTAAGTTGTGGCTACATAAAATTTTTGTGAAAATTTCAATTGTCTATATCATATCAATTATAATCTCTTTTGTAGCCTGCATTCAGCCTGAAAAAGAACAGTATTTGATGTTTGACATGGTTTTAACTTGTCATCATGAAACTGACATTGAAGTAACCTAGGAATTTTAAGGGACTAAAAATCAGGATTTGACAGTTCAAAAATGTACTAGAGAGTTCTCAAAACATTTAATTTTAGTAAAAACATAAAGATTGTTGGATTTTTCAAGAGCAGCACTGTAGCCACATCAATGTTGACTGAGTGCCAACGCCAATTAAATCAGAGTGTAAGCCTACTGAAAGTAGAACAAGAGGCGCCTACCCGATGGAATTTAACATTCCATTATGTTGAAAAGAATCCTTGAAATAAAGGACTCTTTTATCATGACAATGTCATATATAAACATAAATGATGTACTCGTACCGTACGAACGGGGAAGGCTGCAAGATTGTATGTCTTTTCTAGAGTCGTTATTTGAGTTGACAGAAGAATTGTCAGGTGAAAACTCTTCAATGGTAATCCCTTTAGTAAGGCGTTGCCAACAGTCAATCAAAAATGTGAATCCATCAACATTAGTTAGAGCCTCTCTGGGAGTTTCTCTTGAAAGCATTATCAAAAAGGATGACACCCTTTGAGACGGAAAGATATAGCATTGTGCAAAAGGCGCCCCCCGCATTCATGTAAAAGGCACCCCCCTCCCACTACAAAAACAACCACTTATGTTTTATTCTAATAAATAAGATAAAGATATGAATTAACTGATCAAATTATGCTAAGTGAGGGATGGTAAATATCTATGGGTAAAAGATCAACATCAGCCCTAGAGATAACGACTGAGGGAATATTACTTAGAACCAAATCTAAGGTAATCCTGCTACAATTAACAATAACGTTCCAAGAGACAAAATTATAAAATGATTCAAAGTTATAATGATCTTTTGCAATACCACTACCAGGCATAAAATCATAATCGGGACCAGTTATTTCAGGTATATTAAAACCATCAATGACTAAACATTGATTGAAGGCTAAATCACCCAACAACTCGAAAATGAGAAATAATCTGTATAAACAGATGCGGTACTGTACTTTGAGGTGGTATATATGTATTGTGCTAAATGTATACAAAGTAGGAAATAGATTGTAGTACGCGCACTACAAGTGAGAGGGAGTCGATGCTGACTGGCAGCTGTGTGTCCTGCAGCCGACGGTGAACCGCCAACAATACACCACCTCCACGCGACTTGCTTGTGCTTACCGTATCTCTGTCATGCCTACAAATAATGTACCTATCATCCAACAACTCACTGTTTTTATACCTTCTGGTAACCAAGTTTCTGTCAAGGCTATTATGTCAAAGTTTTCATTTAAGACAACATAAAAACTCATAAAAACAGGTCCTGAGTTTTGGTACGGACACCTCGGACATTCTGATAATAAATAGTTATTTCACTAATGGAGTCCACTCATTAGTTATATATATGCAGTATAACAGTAATTTAAAATGCTCATAAGATAAATAGCAGCAGCTAATACAGCTACAAA